TATAACAGATTTACGCAGGTGGGAGGGGAGGGAAATAAAAAAATCTCAGGTAGCACTGTGTGATAAGTGGAGCCAAATACCGACATCTTAAGGATAACTCCCATAAATATTTAAAATATTCTTTTGTTCTCTACTAAGAATTGCTAGATTTTTAAGTAAGCATTACAAGGTCTTTAGATAAAGAACATAAGAACGACGTTTACTGCAGAACAACAGAAATTTCAGAGCTCAGTTTATAGATTTGGTAAATGGCACGAATAGTTATGGTCAAGACCTCACGAGTGTAGAACCCTCAAGGGTCCACTAACATTTGTTCATAATTTTTAGCATATCTCAAAATTATAGACTTACGCTGCAGTAAACTAGTCACTGGTAGCAAAACGTCAGGAGAATACCTGAAATCCTTGTTTTTCATTAAGATGAGAATCAGAATTGCTACAACCAGAAAGTCCACACTTGATCTTTTTACCTGCATCCTCCCAGCATCTCTTTAATAATTTGTGGTTTCCTTCCTCTAAAACCCTATCTAAAAATGTTTCTACCAACCACGTGTGTTGAGGCTCTGACCAAATTCACGTTCACCTGGCAATTAGATGCGGTAATGACTCTGCAAGCTAACGAGCATTCTAGCCCTACTTAAAGCTCCTTTGATTGACCCAGCATGCCAAGCTGCCAGTCAGACTAATGACTTCCACCCCTTTGCTAACAGGACAATATGTTCCTAACTACTGAACTCCGACAAAAATGTTTCCAGCTGTGCTGGTGAGATCACAGAAATGGCATTTTTATGAGTTGTAATCAAAAATGACTACAGTGCAACACTTTCCTCACTCTGCCTTTGATGAGCAAGCGTATTCACCCCCAGTTGAGATGACAATAAAAACAAGGCATGCTTTAATTGCGATGATAAAAAGTTTTTGAACAGTCATTTTTATGGGACCTAGAACCAAGGGCCTGGCAATCACCACAGCCGGTGAGACACTGAAAGACGGACAATACTTTGGCAAACTTGAAGTACATCTGCGCTTTCGATGTTCCGAGATCCACAAGGTACATTATAACCTTTAAATAACAAACAGAATATAGCAGTAAGGAGTTCCTCAGATAATATTTATCTTGAAAAATGGCGAGAGCTACCAATATGACAGAGACTTATTATTTCTTCTGATTTTTCTACCCAGTGATGCCTAATTCGTTGCCACATCTTAAGGGATACAAGTCTCACCGACAGAACAACGTGATGAGCAAATGCAAGGTTTCCGTTTTGCTGGGATACATACTGTAAAAATGGCATCAGCACGATGCATGAGCGAAGAAGGGGTCTCCTCTTGATTTCTCTTCTGAAACACGCGTTTTGCTGGAATCCATCTTTGATGTTTAAGATATACTGATTATGCCAGGTAACAAACCGAACCTCCTTCAGCCCCCGGCAGCTGGCTTCTTCTATCAATCTTACAACAGGCTGTTTCAAGAAAATTAAACCAAAAACATACACATGAAAAATTACATGCTTAAAGACCAGTATTTTTGCCTCTCTCTACTCCCTTCCCCTGTGCTGAGGCACAAGTACACTTAGACCAGTGAAAAACGTTCCGTTACCTGTTTGTAAGATCTGCCACTGAGGCAGGTTTCACAACTTTCCTACGTAATTGGTGCTGGTGCTATCGTATTTTCACAAGTCAAACGTTATTCCCAATATCTAACCAAAAACTCCCTTGACACAAATCACTTTTTGCCTTTGCTCGCTGAGAATGTGCAAAGCAGAAGTCTGCTGTAGAACAATCTTTTATCTATTAATATATTCTCACCTTTTTTTTTTCTTTTCTACAGTAGGGAAACCTAATTCTTTTAACTTCTCCTCGCAGGTAAAACATCCTAAACTTCTTGTTATTTGTGGTGCTTTCTTCCAAACTCTCCCCAGTTCTTGCATTTTTTTTTTTTTTTTAATTTGCAAAGCTCCAAACTGTACACAGACTGCATACAGTGCTCTGCCTTCGGCTTCCTACCACATTCACAACGGCAGCGTGACGCATGAAAAAGGTGAACGTGATCTAGTTTACACTGGTGGAGGTATTTCTGGTACTGTCAAAATTGTACGACACTGATGAAGCGTTATTCAAAATATTATGTACAGCTCCAGTCAACCAAAGACAAGCTCTTAACTACCACAGGTATTGCAAAGGCTTACCGGAAAGTTTACTTGAATTAAGTGAATAGAAGTATCCTGGTTTGGTTTTGGTTTTGTCTAGCACAATACTGTCTGACAGTGGATGTGACTTCTGTGCCTATAATTGGGGTTAAAGAGTTAAAGGCCCATTTAAAACCTGATATGGAAAACCGTGGCTGTAAAGACTAAAGGGCAGCAGTGACACTAGAACGAGTGTGCATAAACCATCGCCGAATAGATTGAAACTAGCCATTTAGGACATGATCCCTAAGGAGCAGGGGCTGGCAGCTGTGGGACCATCCATCTGGAGCAGGGACAGTGCAGCCTACAAGACAGCGAAGGGCTGGATCTCATGGCCCGCACTGCGCTATCTTTGGGGACAGGTAAATCAACTAGAAACTGGAAAGCTAAATGCCAGGGGTGTTAAGGCTGCAGAAAGCTGTCCCCTCTGTCCTAGAACCAGATTTCTAAGGATTAGAAAGGACTTTCTTGGTACTGACATGGACCAGTTTGCTCTCAGGTTTGACAGTTTGCTCAGCCTCTGTGCCTCTGATGTTTCCAGGGATAATTCATGGTGCAATCCAGCAGAGCAGAGTTCTCCTTTTACGGCTTTTTCACTTCAACACTGAACTTCTTGATTATCTGCCTCAGTAACAACAATGCTAACTAACTTTCCTGAATGTTTGAAGACAAAGCAAACTAAAAGTGTGTATATGTATATAGTTTATAGTATATACTGTACACAGTGGTTTGGGTTACAACCCAAAAGCAGGATTCTGGCACGTGTTAAATACCTCAGAGTATTCTCTCCAACCAAAGTGGTCCCTGCAGAAGTATTTCCAGACCGTGTAGTAGTTGGAGCTGGAGCTGGGGCAGGAAGGTGTGGACAGCCGCCTCATTTGGTCAAACTCAACAGTTTCATACACTTTCATAACATTCAAATCCACCCAAAACTCGTGTCCCCTGGAAAGAACAAGAAAAAACAAAGAATTCTCACCTTTGGTAATCCATTAAGAAGATCATTCAGAGCTAACAAAACAGGCAGAACTACAGTCAGCACGGTCCTCTTCAGACACACCCTTGGTCTGGCTGTGCGCATCTCACACAACCCCCGTGACCATGAGCTTGAAGTGGGCACAACAGAGAGAGAAGTGCATGGAGCAGGACACCGAAGAGCTGTGAGGGCAAAGTAACTCTTTAAGAGTTTCCGTGGGCAACAGTGGAAAAACCATGGTCTTCAGCACAGAAAGACAAAACCCCAAACCAGCAGTCTTCCTAGTCCAGTGGTATTTATTCCGTATGCCTGACTAGTACAAAAATCAATATGCATATCCTTGACATTTTGAGCATAAATACTAAGTAAATACAGCACACAACCATATTTGATGAAGCAGCCACATACTATTCAAAAGGTTATTCTTGTGAAAGTTAGTGCTTCAGGGAAGAAAAGAAAATGTAAATGGCTCCAGATGAGAAGCATCTGCTGCCAATCCACCAGAGAGTTCGAGTATCTTTCATCACGTGCAGCAGAAGAGAACTAGCATAATATGAAAAGGAAACGTGATTTCACAATTTTGGAGCCTACACTGAGGAATACTGGCGGTTTTAGAGTAGCTATATTGTTGCTACAAAAATCGACGCTAATACGGAACTTCACGTAGAGTTACTGGCACTTGCCAAAGTCGCTAACGACAACAGAGGGCTGCAGATTACGAACCAGAGTATACCCTTTAGCTAAAGGGGAAAATAAAAGTGCATCTCCTCTACACGTTGCAAAGTCGTGTTTAAGAGTGACTGTGGAATGCTTCCGCAAAGAGTTTCTAACACTGTTTCATTAGTCCATATTAAGAGAGAGACATCAAATTAAAGAACATTCTCAAGGGAAGCATGGAGTTCTAAAGCCCTGCTGATCAACAGACAATCACTGGTTTATTAGCAATCAAGAACTTAAGAAATTCATAGAGATTGAAAGAAATGACAGTAGTGTTCATTCCCTACAAAAGTATTTTTTTTGAACTGGGATTAAGATATTTCCAAAATAATGCTGTTTACATAATTTGTTTTCCAATTTTATAATCTCTTTACAAGTTGCCAGCTGTTACTCATTAGCAGTTACTACTCTTTGGCAACTGGAAATGCAGCTTTTGAGACTATATAAAATATTTTCTTTGCATTCTTAACAGTAAACACAAATCAAGCTGATACTTGAAATCTATAGTTTATTTTTAAAACTGTGTTTTATTTTAGTTTTATTATACCACTTTCACAGAAAACTACTGAAGAGTTCCCACTTTGAAAAATGATGATCAGCTGGAATGATCCTTCATTTCTCCGACAGGAGGTACAGGCACGTAGCTGGTCATCGTCGTTATCATCATCAATTAATTGCATTTGGGCCCATGAAGTGCTAAGCACGTTTTGAAGTATTAAGCGCTTTCCAACGCAGACAAAAACACAACGTGTCCGTTCCCACGGGCTCACAATCAGGGGATCTGGTCCCTGCTGTTTGGGTGAAGTTAGATTGCTCTCTTTGTTTTCCATAAGCTTTCATACAGGCTTAAAGAAAAGAGATAGAACAGTCCCAAAAGTCAAATCAAATGTCTTAAAAATGCAACTCCATGAGCTACTTTAAAATTTCCTTGGACACAAAAATCATCCTTTTTGCAACTCCCCCAGCAGCCCAAGCCCCAACCAGCGCTTCGTCCGACTCCCTTCAGGGATGGACATCTGTCCCTGCCACAGCAGAGCTGCCTGCAGCAGGAACGGCCCCGGCCAGCTTGCTTCCCTTTATGTTGAGAATGTCCTGCCTAAAAGGCACATCCTGCCAGTTCCCTGCACATGGTTTTCTAAAAACTGTCATAGAACCACGCTAATTAAGATGAAAATTTTGTCAAGATGACACTTTATCACACAAAATCCATAGAAGGTTTAACAGTGTGTTCCCTACTTGCGTCAATGGCACACAAAATCATTACGGTTAGAATATGAGTACAGGAGGAAGACAGCTATTCTGCGTAGGAGGCGTACTTTAATAACCCATGTCTTCCCACCCAAGCTGCAGCCCACTGCAAGAAGTTGGATCCACTAATTAAAGCTGACCCGCATCAGCGGCCAGTGCACGGGCACCCCCGCGACTCAAGAAAATGCATCTAACAACAGCACGACAAGATAAACGTCAGATACAAGTGATCTAGTCAGAAGGAAAACTGGCACTAACTGAAATAAATGACTAGTATGAAGGGACTGAAATTAAATGTAGGGCTTAAAAAAATACACATACTTTCTGGAATGAAAAAACTAGTAACAGATCACTCCACCTTCCTGGTATGCAGTCATTTTGTTCCATAACAAACAGCTACAATCTACTTTATTTGAAAACAATGTGTGAAATCATGAGGAAACCATCTCTCTGAAATACCAAGCTGTGTCATTATTTATAGTATTTGCAGGCAACACCATAAGCACCATTTTTTGAGTGAATTTCTTCATGAATACATTTTTAATGCTGCTTTAGGGACATTTGCTTTTTCTTAGCAAAATGTAGTCTTACAATTCTGAATTTCAGTGCCCAATAAAGCTGCCACTTTTGAGAAAAGTGTGTTTAGCAATTGATATTGTTTACATTGTCCTTTTGGAGCAAAGAGTTGGACTAGCTGTTTTGGGGTTATGCTGCACCTACAAAGCCAAGTCCTGAATCGAGACCCCCTGATTCTGTGCTGCATACTGTATGAAACACCCAAAAAGCTATTTCTCAATACAAAACCTCACAATTCGAACGTTCATTCTCACTTCAATCTCTTTTCAAGTCAAATAGAGTATCAGGGTTCTCCCTACATCAAAGATCTGTGACCTCCGAGAAAGCGCAAAGAAATGGAAAACCTTTTCTTTAGGAGTAAATTACTTTAAAGGTAGTAAATCCCAGAGGATTATTTAATTTTATTCTAATTTTGTATGCTGCATGTGTTATAGTGAAAACTGATAATGAAAAAATGTTTGCGGTAGCTCTATGCTAATGCAGTGCAAAGGGAAGAGAATCTGAAAATCAACATACACTCTAAACACACTAAGGATTATCCACTAGCGTGCTGAACTCTTTTATCTTAAAAAGTTTAAGGTCTGTAAAATTCTGAAGACTGGAAAACAAATTCCACAGGCACTTGAAACACGGCTAGCTTCTGATGCATGACTTGGGTATTTCTAACATGGGCTTAACTGTGTTCAAATAGTCTCCAACAGGCGCACACAGCTCTGCAGCAAAGCAAGGAGAATCAAAGTCATGCAACGGGAGGGACCCTCCGGAAGGAAAAACATTTTGAGATGCACACAGCACGAGACTGCTTTTCCTCCTGCCTGTACTGCAGAGCAAGCGGATCTTGGGGATGAACTCCTAAAACTCCGGGTTGACAGTGCACATGCAAAAAAGGGTATTTGTGTGCCGACATGTTCTGCCAATGGCTGGGGAACTGTAGGATTTTTAATCCCAGACTGGTTTGGGTGGGCAGGGACACCCTCCACTAGCCCAGGTTGCCCAAAGCCCCATCCAACCTGGCCTTGAACACTGCCAGGGAGCCAGGGGCAGCCACAGCTTCTCTGGGCACCCTGTGCCAGGGCCTCAGCACCCTCACTGGGAAGGATTTCTTACTAATACCTAATCTCAGTCTCCCCTCCTGCAACTTCAGGCCATTCCCCCTTATATCCTATCACTACACTCCCTGACAAAGAGTCCCTCTCCAGCTTTCCTGGAGAAAACAGCTTTTTATACTGCTTTCTTCTAGTAGTGCTATAACAACATGCAATTCCAGTAAAACAAATTGCGTTTTTTTTCCTACAACAAACAAAATCTGTGTACAGCTAAGTGTGCATCTACATATCTCATACGACTCTGAGATTTATAAGGCTGACAGCTAATGACAGCTTATGGTGAAAAGAGCTTCTCTGAAAGCTAAACATTTTCCTGCAAAACCTGTATAGAACGTGCCAAATTATTTCTCAGTACTGAGAAATGTAATGATTGTCTATTGTTTGGAATTTTTTACATTTTTGTAGCTCACTGTTTCTGCTTCTTCTGTATCAGATTCCCTCCCCTGTAAGCCAACTGAGGAGGACAGGATGGCCTTTGCTCATTGACTTACATCGACAATTTGCTGCAACGAGAACCCAGCCATCAAGCTGATTACCACCCCTTCGAACATTCCTCTCGAAAGCCTACGTACGATACAACACATGAAGCGTTCTTGTTTTCTCATTCCTAAATGGAACTGCTCAGTCTGTCTGACTGCAAAGGTCAGAGCATTTCTGAGCGACCCACCTTTCGGTGCATGGCTGCGACGCAGCGAGCTGAGCTCAGCAATCCAGGCTCCCGCACACCTCCCGCCGGCTTTCAGCTTGTTTAATACAAATCCTTCACTCTTCGATTAAAGATGGGGACACTGGCTCCAGGCAGTTGCTGCCTGGGTTTACTTAAAGTTTCTCTCAGGGTAAGAGCCACAGCTCAGAACCCAAAAAAGTGCTAATTATTTCTTGAAGAAAAAATGTCAAGATATTTCTTGGTATGGTATCCTCTATCCAGTTCCCTTAGCTGTGAAGAGGGAAAGGTTCAGCAATTTCAGGATATAACATAGCAGAATTTTCCTGAAACTCAAGCTTCTGTTAAATTAGGGATGCTTTAAAAATGGTATTCTATCTTGTTGGTAAAGTGTTTAAAGTGCTACTTCCTATTAATTTTAACAGAAACTGACCAAAATATCTAAACACCAGAAAATCTACACAACAGTGTTTTATTTTTCCCTGAATACTTTAAATTTTTTTAAATCCCACATACATTTTCTACCTAACAATAAATTATTTGGAATAACACTGCATTATTTTATACAGCTGAAAATTTTAGACAATGTATTTATTTAAGTGCCTGTATCTGAAAAAAAGACTGTGCCCAAGAGCCTACCTGATCTTTTTCCTAATTA